TTTAAAAAATTATATACATTAAAAACAAATGATTATTGAGATAAATTAAAAAAAATAGGAGACTTCTGATCCAAGGGACTGCAAGAGGCCGAGTTTGAGATAATTTCGGATTGTAATTTCTAGTTCTAGACCTATATTACCTCTAGATATAAAATACAAGGAAGTTTTTTTTTATTTTTTAATTTTTATTCTTCTTTTTAAAAGTAGCGGTTAACTTGAACAAGGATTTGTATTATAATACAATTCCTACTATTTCTCATATACATAAAATCAAAATTTAATTAAATATTTATCTTATAATCATAACCTATCTTCCTCCTTTCTTTAGATTTTATTGGTTTCCTGTTCTTCAAGAAATCACATTTAGTTTTCTCTTCTTTGAAAAATCGGCCATGGACAACGAATCCTCAATGTTTGCAGTTGAAAGTGGTGAAGGATGTGAAGATGTTCTGAAATGGAACTACCATGGAGGTTCGGGTCGGCCGGAGAAGAACGCAGGTGAACTTTTATTGAGAGCTAAAAGATATCTTTCGGCTAAGGGATGGATTTTCCGGCATGTCGACGAAATTGGGAAAGAAGTGGTGCGATATCAGTCTCCCCATGGAGAAGTCTATAGTTCACTGAGAATGGCTTGCAAAAGTTATATTGATCAAGGCTTGGAAGAGGGACGGATTAGAAACGTGGAGCCCAAGAAACCTAGGAAAATAAAGTGTTTGAGTCTAGAGAATCAGTCAGTACCAAAATCTGTTCAATCCGAATCGCTGAGAAGAGGAAAAACTCTGAAGAAACAAGAGTGTTGTGAGGGTCTGGTTTCTAGTCGTAACCCTCGAACTGTTCTGTCTTGGTTGATAGATAATAATGTTGTTTCGGAACCGGGAAATGTGTATTATCGCAGTAAGACAGGGACTCCATTGATTAAAGGTCGTACCACTCGTGATGGGATTCAATGTAACTGCTGCTCCAAGGGTTTCACTCTAACAGCCTTTGAAGAACATGCTGGAAGTACCAATCACAGGCCAGCAGCTAACATAATCCTAGACGACGGCACTGGAAGGTCACTTTCTGATTGTCAAAGACAAGCTCGTGATTCTATGAGGGTCACCATATCAACTTCGAGTACTCATTCGAGTCGTAAAATTGTAAAAGCAGCCGATTCGTTTCAACACGAGAACGATGAAGTTTGCTCGGCCTGCTGCAGAGGAGGAGATTTAATTGGCTGTGAATATTGCCCTTCAGCATTTCATATGAAATGCCTTGGCTTAAAGGAAATCCCCAATTGCCAATGGTTTTGCCCTCATTGCTGCTGTGGAATTTGTGGCATCGGGTGTGTAAAGGATAAAACTTTTTTTTACTTGTCATCAATGCGAGCTTAAATTCCATGTCGATTGCTTGAATTCCAAGAAACCAAATGAGATGAAGATCGAGAAAAACAAGGTACTATTATTCAGCCAGAACTGTGAAAAGATCTTTTACGGCCTGAAAAAGCTTACAGGAAATCGAATTCCAGAGGGGAACAATCTGACTTGGATATTGCTGAAATCTGATATTCGAGCTCATGGTTATGGCATGAAGTCATCTGCAGTGAAAGAGAATCAGAGTAAGTTGAGAGCTGCACTTGATGTGATGCATGAGTGTTTCGAGCCAAGCGAATCTGTCGATAGTCGACACGGGGAGAGATTTAGTCGAAGATGTGATATTCAGCCGAGTCTCAAAGCTTAAACGGTTGAATTTCAAAGGATTCTATACCGTGGTTCTGGAAGAAAATGCTGATCTGGTTTCAGTGGCCACTCTGAGGGTGTACGATAATAGGGTGGCTGAAATGCTCCTTGTTGCCACGACGTGCAGACACCGTCGCCGTGGAATGTGTCGAGTTTTGGTGGATGAGATCGAAAGGAATCTGATGAAACTAGGAGTGGAGAAGCTGGTTTTGCCATCACTGCCGACCACAGTCGAGACGTGGACTAATTGTTGGAAATATGGACTGCAAAATAACACCGTTAGCACTGACAGGAAAAATAAATAATAATTTAAAAGAAACATATTGATAAAACGTGTCGTGGTAAAACCACTGCCTTAGAAACAAATTCGCCCCGATGTGTGTAATCGCTGCAGTAGGCGGACCGTTCCCCCGAGGTTAACACGGCTCTCCAAGAATTCGTACACCCGAAAACTGGAGTGAACTTGGTGGTATTGCTCTTCTCTTAACTCAAACAATACTTAAAAGAGAGGAATGTTTTCAAAGCAAATGTTTTGCTTGGGATATATCAAAATGAATGAAATTACTCTCTATTTATAGGCTAAATAGTGAAGGTAAAATTGTCATTTCCAATACTAGTGGAATAACCTAATTTTAGCATTATCATTATCAAAATTGAGTATTATCAAGAAATGACAATTTACAATGCTAGTTGAATTAGCATTATCAAAAAATGACAATTTACAATGCTAGTTGAATTAGCATTATCAAGAAATGACAATTTACAATGCTAGTTGAATTAGCATTATCAAGAAATGAAAATTTACAATGCTAGTTGAATGAGCATTATACAATACTCAATTTGAGTATTATCAACACTAATAACTTCGGGTTTTGGCGCATGACAGATGAAGAAAGAGCAAAGCTTTGGAAGTATACTTTACTAGGCTTCCAGGGGACTATAATTTGCCAAAAACTCTTAAGATAGAAGAAGCATTACTTCCGCGGTGATTTCAGTTGAAAGCAGTGAAGGATGTGAAGAAGATGTTACGAAATGGTACTACCGTGGAGGTTTGGGTCAACCAGGAGAAGAACGCGGGTGAACTTTTATCGAGAGCTAAAAGATATCTTTCGACTAAGGGATGGATTTTCTGGCATGTCGACGAAAATGGGAAACACGTGCTGCGATATCAGTTTCCTCATGGAGAAGTCTATAGTTCACTGAGAATGGCTTGCAAAAGTTATATTGAAAGGTTTGGGAGAGAGACGGATCAGAAACGTGGACCCCAAGCAACCTAGGAAAAGAAAGTGTTCGAGTTCGGAGAATCAGTCATTACCGAAATCTCTTCAATCCGAATTGCTGAAAAGAGGAAAACTCTGAAGAAACAAGAGAATCAAATGGTAAAATGTTGTGAGGGTCCGGTCTCTAGTCGTAACCCTCGAACTGTTCTGTCTTGGTTGATAGATAATAATGTTGTTTCGGAACTGGGAAACGTGTATTACCGCAGTAAAACAGGAACTCCATTGACAAAAGGTCGGATCACTCGTGATGGGATTCAATGCAACTGTTGCTCCAAGTGTTTCACTCTCACAGCCTTTGAAGCACATGCTGGAAGTACCAATCACAGGCCAGCAGCTAACATAATCCTGGAGAACGGCACTGGAAGGTCACTTTCCAATTGTCAAAGACAAGCTCATGATTCTATGAAGGTCACCGCATCAACTTCGAGGACTCATTCAAGTCCTAAAACTGTAAGGCACCCAATTCGTTTCAACATGAGAACGATGAAGTTTGCTCTGCTTCCTGTTGTGGGGAAATTTAATTGGCTGTGAATATTGCCCTTCAGCATTCCATATGAAATGCCTTGGCTTAAAGGAAATCCCCAATGGTCCATGGTTTTTCCATCCTTGCTGCTGAGGAATTTGTGGCATCGGGTGTGTAAAGGATAGAACTTTTTTTACTAGTCATCAATGCGAGCTTAAATTCCATGTCGATTGCTTGAAGTCCAAGAAACCAAATGAGATGAAGATCGAGAAAAACAAGGTACTATTATGTAGCCAGAACTGTGAAAAGATCTTTTACGGGCCTGAAAAACCTTACAGAGAAGCCAATTCCAGTGGGGAATAATCTGACTTGGACAATTCTCAAATCTGATCAACGAGTTCGTGTGCAAAGCATGAAGTCATCTGCACAGAAAGAGAATCAGAGTAAGTTGAGAGCTGCACTTGATGTGATGCATGAGTGTTTTGAGCCAAGCGAATCTGTCGAGACCGGGAGGGATTTAGTCAAAGACGTGTTATTCAGCCGAGTCTCAAAGCTAAACGATTGAATTTCAGACGATTCTATGCTGTGGTTCTGGAGGAAAATGAGGATCTGGTTTCAGTGGTCACTCTGTGAGTGTACGATAACAGGCTGAAATACCTCTTGTTGCCACAACGTTTGGGCACCGCCACCGGGGAATGTGTTGAGTTTTGGTGGATAAGATCGAAAGGAATCTGGTGAAATTAGGGGTGGAGAAGCTGGTTTTGCCATCACTGCCCACCACAGTCGAGACATGGACTAATTACTTGGGATTTTCCCACATGCCAGATGATGAAAGATTAAAGCTTCTGCAGTATACTCTACTAGACTTCCAGGGGACCATAATTTGCCAAAAACTCTTTAAGATAGAATAGAAGCATTACTTATTATTTACTAAAACGAATGTAGAAACAAGGATTTTTTTTCCAATTTTCTTTTTTGGATATTTATGTAACTTGTAAGATAAGGTATCTCAATACATCCCAATTCCCATGCACCATGACTAGATTTAGTAGATTTATATATTGAAGTATTGGATAATTGCATATGCATGTATGCATGTATAAGGTCGATGACCTGCATGACCTCTATCCATGTTTCTGTAAACAAGCAATTATTTTTGAAGTGATGGAATGGAAGCTCTTGATCAACAAACGTTGATCTCATTCTTCACATAGTTCTGGATTGGTCTTCCTCAGAGACTAATTTTTGTAAACGTTCTATCAATATATCGAAATCATCTTGGCTTCGGACAAGGCTGAGTCAAACATAGTGATCTTCTGAACCAAGCATATTTCCTTGCCCACCAATGATATTAGCTGCCTTGAGAACTGCATAACAGTCTTTATCTTCTTCTCGCTCACATTTTAACCATGCATAAGCTGCCATAAACATAATAAGGTTAAAGACATTCTATTCTTTATGGTTTCATAGCAAAGATAATAAAGACTTAAATAAAATGTCTAAATTGAGGTTGATAGAAGTAGTTGGAGAAAACTCTCTGACTTCAGTGTAAAAAGAGCAGTATTGCGGATCGATTTTCTGAAGAGAGAAGCGGTTCGACGAGGATAACGTTGTGGCCAATCTTTCCTATCTGATCTTCATCTTCCGGTATGTGAAGTTAAATATTCCAGTTCCTTCTTCTAGGACTGCTTTCAAAAGCTTAAATGCTCTTAACTGAGCATCTTTTGAAACACCCATGGAATTTATTTGCATGTGTGTTACCATTCTGTTAAACACAGTTTCATCTTTTATCACTGCCCACCTTTGTATATAACACAGAAAATATGTTAATTGCTTCATGCAAATATGCTATTTACTTTCATAAATGGAAGCTAATCTTATTTGCCCAAATCTGCTACCAGCATGACCAGTAAGTTTGGAAAGTGTAAACACCATGAGATCTTCATCTGCCGGAGCCAGAATCGTGTAAAATGCGGCCAGTAATCAGATAGGTCGTAAATTGTTTTCACATTAGGGCCATCAAGAATCGCTTTGTTTAACCGTCCATCATGGTTGTTTGGTGCAGTTACAAACAAAATCACATCTGCACTACCATCTGATCTATTCCTACATGTATAAGCATCTCCTTCGAACTTGAACTTTTCCGAATTGAAATATTCAACTTGGTACTTGTAGAACTGTCAAAATTATGTTCGGATGCAAATAAGTGACAACAGTAATGACAAAAATGAGTTAAAAGTACAAAATAAGTGCTGGTTCCGGAATAAACTGTGTAGTAGGGGATTGAAGCAACAACTCGTGTAGGCGACTGTGAGGAAGCATTTTGAAGAGACAATGCATAAGCAGCCTCACCAAGGACTTGGGTTGAACCTCCACCGAAAACAATGTATCTGTTTCGTGTGATTGCATTCCCGACGAATGAGTGTAGTTTGCGGATGAGGCTTTCGAGTTCTTGCGAGAAGAAAGTGCTATCACAATAGGTATAACTCATTCGATTCCACCCGATAGTACCGGTGCACTACTAGTTGAGTGCTGCACCCAAAAGGGTTAAAGAAACAATGGATCTCCACTGCATACACATGATAATTTCTCAAAAACAAAATAGAGCAATAACAATAACTTGTCGTCCAAGAATCAAATATGAACCCTAAATTAAAAGATCAAACTTGACAGATAAAAAATAGAAGGCATAAAGAGTTTGTGATCATATTGTCACGCCCTCATAACCTTCAAGCCCAAACTGTCGCAATATCATAGTTAAAGTCTGACGGGTCGTGCGGCCTTAGATGCTTTTTGACACTTCTGGGATTTCTATGCAACTAAGTAAGCCTTATCTAAGACTAGTGAGCATGCAAACTCACCAAGGTTGAAACCAAACCCTCAAGACTTATAGGATCCAGAAACTTTAACACCAACGTGACTACTCCAAGCCACCAAGGTTGGACTATAATGTGGAAGTGCAAACACAAGCGTGACTACTCCTAACCACCAAGAGAGGGAACAACACAAAGAGACTTAGGAACAAAGAACACAAGAACTAGAGTAAATGTCTCAGAGTTTTATTACTCTCTCCCAAGAGAATGGAGGAATGAATGGATGAATATAAATGAGGAGGAGAGACTCTCTATTTATAGTTGAGCTCCTTCTCAATCAATGACTAGTATTGACTTACATCAGCGTCCCAGATCAAATACAATCTCCTAAATTCCCAAATTAAGAGATTGTATTTACAAGATACTCTCTTAACTAAGGAAACTCAATCTCATCCTACCTAATTACATTAATTAGTAGAATTCTTTCATTTGATAAGCGTTCACAATGGATATGGTAAGAATCCTCCACAATCTCTATTGATTTGTTGTCTCTTTCCATAATTACTGAGCTCATGTGATTATCTTCGGATATGATGCCACTTTCCTTTTGTCAAAAGTAAAATTTTGTAAAAGAAAAACAAAGCATTAAAACAAATTTGACCAAAATCATTATGATGAACCAAAAAAAATCATTGAAACTTTAAAATGTTCACCATAACATATTTTGACATACAAGAGATGAAAAAAAACATATAATCATTTTGTTAAAAAACTCATGCATGCATAAAAAAAATAGGCAACCAATTATGCAAAATTAAAAAAATAATAAGTTTAGTGGTTACCCATTCCTCATTTTGTGTGGCTATAGCATTTGAATTTATTCACTTTTGTCACCATTGCTCCCTCACACCTATAAGATACATTTACTTTGTTTTTTGTATCCAAATTTATTTGGGTCATTGAATGTTAGTTTCAATGCCCCTTGTTCCTTGAGGAACTCATACTTATCTAATTTTAAAACATTTTTTTATTTATAGGACAAGTATGTTCTATGTGACCATAGAAATGACAATGTAAGCATTTTGCAATTATTAAATATGATGAATTATTTTGAGAAATTATTTCTTTTTCTTTTTCTTTTGTTAAGCATTCAAGGTTAACTTTAAAATAAAAATTTCCTTTTCTAAATCTTTGATTTTGATTTTTGAAATATCAAAATAATTGTTCACAATTTAATTTTGCTTTTAAAAGAAAATCATTTTCAACTTTAAAATTTGAAATCAATTTATTATATTTGGAATTCATGGTCTCAAATTCCAAATGAAATTCATTCTCATAGGCTTGAAATTCTACCCATATCCCTTGAAATTCTCATAGCTATGGTTGAGAAGACTGGTTTTAATTTATCTCACCTCATCGGTTCCTTCATGAGTGACTTGGTGCTTGCCCCAAATTTCCTTGACATTGGAACAAGAGGGGACTCTTCCATATTTATTCGGGCCTATTGCACAAAATAGGATGTACATGACCTTGGCATTTTGTTGGAATTTCTTCTTTTTATTCTTCATTTTAATCTTCCATCTTATTGGTTGGAGTTGAGTGACCCATTAGGATAGAGTTTCAAGTATCTAGATCGGTGGCTTGAATGAAGAGCATCATCACATTCTTCCAATATGCATAATTTTCTCCATTGAAATAGGGTGGCTTGTTGATTGGTTGAGAATCTTTGATGTAGTAATCACCGGAGGAAAAATTCATCTTCTAGGTTGAGTCGAAAATTGATAGAGCTCTTCTAAGATCTTCACAAGGTTCTTAAATGACGATTGTGACCCGCTCTGATTCCAATTGTTAGAATTTTTTAAGTTCAATTGATCAACCGAAATTGTAGTCAAAAGGGGGTGAATATGCCTTTTTAAAATTTTGGGAATTTAAGAGAAAGGATAAGAAAATTTTCTCAATGATTTATAGTGGTTCAACTTCCTCAATGAAGTCTACATCCACTACCTTGGCTCCTCACTAAGGATTTCTAACAAATTTAATTTGCTCTTTCGTTTTCTAGGCTCAAGTGCAACCTTTATAAATTATCTATCTTTTACAATGGCTAAGATAGAACCAAAATCCTTTTTCAATAAGGATAAAAGATTGTAAATAAGAAACCTCTCAAAGGAAGGTTTTTACACAATTTAGCTTACTAAAACACTATATGTACAAGAGAAAAGGAAAAATAAGATTGAAAGAGCTTTTCTCTTGATGTAAATTGCTTGGATAGGTGTTGTAACATTCTTCAATTGTCCTAAACTTGTTTTTATATGTGGAATGAGTTTGTATCCGTTGGGGATGTTCTAGAGCCATTAGAACCCTTAATTTTGAGCATTAAATGCTAACCTACAACTTTGGTATCTATACTAGGAAGTTGGTATCGAGATCGAGCATGAAAAACATTCAAAATTATAGTCGTTAAAGCCTCGATATCGACATTATTTGAAAGAGTATCAATACTCACCTTCCAGTATTGATACCAACACCATGGTACTGATACTAGAAAAGCCTTCTGGAATATCGGTCTCGAGACTACCATGTCAGTCTCAAGACTGACTAGGGCTTTTGGCTAATTTCAAGAGTTTTGAGCTTTAGAACAATGTTTAAAAATTTGAAAAAGTTTAGAAAACATCTAAGACATATTTTTCAAATTAATTTGGACTTTGAATTATTTTTGAATTTTTTGAACAAATTCAATTTAGTGCAAAAACATTTTTCCCTTATTTTTATATAAAAAATACAGGTTCAACATTCTTTGTGGCATGTTTTTCTCTGTCTTTGTGGCATGTTTCTCGTTTTCTTTCTTGATCGTTTAGTCGTTCTTTATTTATGCTTTCTTAGGGTTGGTTTTGGCAACGTCACGACTGATCAAGATGACGCTTATTTATAATCTTGTTGTCTTCTCTGCTATGGACCCTTGGATTGTATTTGGATGCGGGATTTTACGTTCGTGGATTGTTTCTCACGACAATGTGCTCTGATTTGCGATTCTTAGTGAACTTAATCCCCTTTTGTGGTTCATTTGTCGATGCAGTAGAATTGTTGATATCTATTTTTTGTTCGAATTTTTTTGTTGGGTTTTTAACCTTTTTCGTGAATGCTCCTTATATGATATAAAGTGGCTAGTTTTAATATTATGAAAAAAATGTCTAACTTATGTATTTAGTTTAAAATGATAGTTGTAAACTCTTATTTTAATTTGAAGGTTTAAAGGTCATTTTTGCCACAATAGTAAATCTAACTTATTAATTTCACCCCTATCGTTTTGTTTTGCATCAATTGAGACCTCGAAGTTGTTTAGGATGTTCATCCTAGCCCTCGAAGTCTGTTGACCATTTTGAATAACAGAACTGTAGTCTTCTGCATTTTTCAACACCAATAATTTCCAGATCTGCCAATATTACTAACGTGACTTGAATAAATAAATATTTATAATATTTATTGAAATAAATAAATAATAAAATGTTTACGATATTTACTATATAAAACGGAGAAAAAAATCTCTAAATTTTGACCTAATTCTTAGTCTCACTTAAATAAATAATAAAATCTTAGGAATTTGTTCTAATCATTGTGTTTAATAATATTTTAACCTTATCTCTTAATCTACAGACATAGAAACTATTAGTCAAAATGGTCAACAGACTTCGAGGGTTGAGATGAACACCCTAAACAAGTTTGACGGCTAAATTGATGGAAAAAAATATGGATGAAAATGATAAATTGGGTTTACTATATGGACAAAAATGACCTTAAGCCTAATTTTAAATATTTTCACTTTTTTAATAATAGTGGTTGTTTTTATTCGAAAAATAATAATTAAAAATTAATATAAAAGTTCTATTTCAAGCTTCTTCTAGACTCTCTTCATGATGAAGAATAGTTGTCATTATGTTTAGTGAGATTAACGAAAATTAAAACGACAGCAAAATGGGAACGATTATGTTATTGATACACATATCAACAAAAGCATGATGCTGCTAAACATTTCAACAGAAATTAAATATATTTATTTTTTAATATGAGTTGGATATACGTACCAAACATGCTATTGAAGTATGAATTCTGAGGTTAATGCACGTATACATATCCGAGCCATGATAGTGCTGAAAACATACATCAAAAACATGTTATGCTTGGCATCTCATATTGAAGCTACAAAACGAGGTTAGTGTTAAATGATAAAAGACAAGAAGGGAAATCTTCCCATTCGAGACGATGAATATAAGCAAAAACTAGAAGATGTTAAGCCTAAAGATAAATAGGTTGGCTGCCTCATAATTGTGATAGGAGGAGATAAAATGTATAAGGATGGATACATGATTTTGTTTTATGAGATTAATTTACAAAAGGTCCCGTACATTATAATATATAGTTTTTGAGAATTAGAGGAAGAGTAAAATCCCAACGTTGGATAAGAGGTCAATCTAACTTTATTACTAAGACGATAAAACGTTGGATAATGTATATTTAATTTTGTTTTTCTTACGTGGATTAATGACTTGAAAAAATCACATTTGAAATCATTATTATTAATTTATTATGACATGATTTTTTCACTCAATTTTCGGAGGATGGACTGAAATACCATCCATATATAATGGTGTATCGACAAAAGGGAAACCGACAGCAAGATCATGCACG